TCAATTAATCTTCCCTGCTGATAAGATGATCAAGAAAGCATGTCTTGGGCCCGGCCCACTTGCCCTGATCGCGATCCTACCCGTTTTCCTACTAACCAACCGGATACGGGCCGACCCGAGAACCCAAACCGTCCTGTTCACGTGCGGAACCCAGCCGGAGGACAACCGGACCGCCTTCGTCCCCAATTTCGTGGCCGCTATGGAGAACATAAGCTCCCAAATCCGGGTCTCGGGCTTCGGCACAGCCTCCGTGGGCTCCGGGCCCAATACGAACTATGGGCTGGCCCAATGCTACGGGGACCTCTCGCTAGTGGACTGCGTCCTCTGCTACGCCGCGGCCCGTACGCTCCTCCCCCAATGCTACCCTGGCAACGGTGGCCGCGTTTACCTCGACGGCTGCTACATGAGATCCGAAAACTACACTTTTTTCGAGGAGTGGGCTGGGCCCGGAGACCGGGCCGTTTGCGGGAACGTAACCCGAATGGGCCCGGGTTTCAGGGACTCGGCCCGTCAGGCCGTGGAGCAAGCGGGTTCGGCTGCGCCGGGTAATAACGGGTTCGCGCGGGCCCGTGTGGGAGTGCCCGGGGTTAGGAATGTGTCGGTTTACGTTCTTGCCAATTGCTGGAGGACAATAGGGGAACGGGCCTGCCGGGCCTGTTTGGCGAATGCGACTGAATTGGTTTTGGGCTGTTTGCCGTCAACTGAGGGCCGGGCTCTTAAAACGGGCTGTTTCCTGAGGTATTCGGATACTGATTTTCTTAATCCCGTGCCCGTGATTGGGAGCTCGAGAGGTATGGAGTGAATTCGATTCGTTGGTTTTCTTGAGGCAAAATTGCATTTTTTGTCATGCTAATTAAACGGCGTAGCAATTTTAGTCCAAATGTTCCAAAGGACTAAAATCGCAATAAATTCCCAAATTCTTAGATTTTTTAGTAGCAATTTAAGTCATGTAAATTATTGCAACTTCATTCCTGTAATTTAATATTTTGTTGCAATTCTAGTCCTCAAAAACTGAAATTACACCAAAATATAGAACCAAAAGATGAAGAGTTGTAATCTTGAGACTAAAATTGTCATAACGTTAAACCAACGTGACTAAAAATACATTTTTTGCCGTTTCTTGATTTTTGAACTTTATTTCGAGTCTCGTGTGTGTTTGTGTTTATGTGTGTGTTTTTGCAGGAAGGATTATAGCTATTGTAGTGGCATCTGTTAGTGCAGTAGCTGTTTTGATAACTGGAGCTTATATTGGAGTTTACATCTGGAAGAACAAAGTGATTGAGAAGAAGAGAAAAGGTAAAAGAAGAGTGAAAGTAAATTTAGTACACTATTACTCTCCCTTTCTTGTGAAATCTTTTGTGAATTGTAAATGGATTAAAAAAGGTAGATGTTGGTTCAGGTGATGCACATAAACTGGTGAAAACTCTTCATGACAGCAGCTTAAACTTCAAATATTCGACCCTCGAAAAAGCCACCGGTTCTTTCGACCCAGCAAACAAGCTCGGGCAGGGCGGGTTCGGGACAGTCTATAAGGTCATAAACCCATAAAAAAAACAAAAGAACTCAAAAACTCGCACTCGAAAANAAAAAAAAAAAAAAAAAAAATCAAATCATTTCATAGTTCATGCATGTTAATAAAATTGTTGTGCAGGGAGTTTTACCGGACGGGAGAGAAATTGCCGTGAAGAGGCTCTTCTTCAACAACAGGCACCGAGCAGCTGATTTCTACAATGAAGTCAACATTATAAGTAGCGTAGAGCACAAAAACTTAGTCCGGCTGTTAGGTTGCAGCTGCTCGGGACCTGAAAGCCTTCTCGTTTATGAATTCTTACCAAACCAAAGCCTCGACCGTTATATTTTCGGTAATCAAGGCCTAAATACCAATACTATGTTTGGTTAAATAAATTAGCTTATAGCTTAAGACTTATGGCTGAAAAGCTAGCTTATATGATAAAAGTGTTTGATAAAATTAGCTGAAATAAAAATTTCAATGGGCTTATTTAAAAAGCTACTCAAGGAAGCTTATGAGATAAGCTCGAGCTTTTTAAAAAAGCTCGTCATACCAAACCAAACTTATTTGATTATAGAAAACTTATAAGCTAATCAAATAAGCTATGAGCTAGCTTATATCCATACCAAACACAAGCTTCAATTTTTTTTTACCGTTTTCTTGATTGATTTGTTGTTCAATGGTTTTTGACAGATCCAATCAAAGGCAAGACATTAAACTGGGAGAAAAGGTTCGAGATAATTATAGGCACGGCCGAGGGCTTGGTTTACCTTCACGAAAACACGAATGTAAGAATTATACATAGAGACATTAAGGCAAGCAATATCCTCTTGGACTCGAGATTAAGAGCGAAAATCGCAGATTTCGGGTTGGCCAGGTCTTTTCAAGGAGATAAGAGTCACATAAGCACAGCCATAGCAGGAACTTTGTGAGTCATTTTTCGAAATCTACATTTATCGCGAATTTGTAAACTCCAAAAAAAAAAAAAATATTAAAAAAAAAATTTATTCGATATATAACTAATTTTGCAGGGGATATATGGCCCCGGAATACCTAGCACACGGCCAGCTAACAGAAAAAGCCGATGTCTACAGCTTCGGTGTTCTTCTATTTGAAATCGTGACCGGTCGAATGAATAACCGAAGCAAAAACTCAGAGTACTCGGACAGCCTTATATCCATAGTACGTCCCTCCAAAATTCCCATTTTACCCTCCATCTTCTCTATATATACATAACATGATGAACCGGCAAATACTTTCGTATAAATCAGGTGTGGATTCATTTCCAAGAAAACTTGGTCGAAAAGCTACTCGACCCAAACCTAATGCAGCATAATTACAACAACATTAATATAAAAAGGGAAATGTTGCGTGTGGTCCACGTGGGACTATTGTGCACGCAAGAAATCCCTTCTTTAAGGCCATCAATGTCGAAGGTTTTACTAATGCTGGTGGATAAAGAGGAATTACCTGCACCGACTAATCCTCCTTTCATGGATGAGAAAACCATGGAACTAAACGACTCGAGTGGAAATACATTATTACCCATCGACTGCAGCAATGGTGATTCGGTTGCAAATATGTCACATAGTAGCATTTACTATCCAAGGTGAAGCAGATTTTATTTTTTTTTTGGAATATAGATTTTGTAGAAAAGAATATGTAAAGCTATATACATATATATAAGAAAAAGACATAATTCAAACAGACAGGATTGATGCAAACAGGATAAGTATATCCAGTATTTTTTGTTTCAAATTATGAGTGAAGTTCTTTTTTATATAATCATTTCTTGAAGAAAAAATATTGAGAATTTTTATTTTAGTCATATAGTTCAACAGACAGTAGGCACTCTATTTCAGAATACACAGATATCAAGTTTCAATTAAGCAGAACAAATAAACTCTTTAATCCTTCATTGAATAATTAAAAATAAAAAAATAAACAAAAGAAACATGAAAAAAGCTTCAACCTTCAAATCATAAAATGCTCAGCTGCATTTAAAACAACAGAAAAGAATGGACCTCTTAACAATGCCCAGTAAACACACTCACCCTAGGAAACATTACACACCAACATACACAATAAAACTGGAAATCCCCAATACAGAACTTTACAAGCAGTAAAATAAAATCAAGAAGAAAAAACTAATTTCAAAATGCTGAAAATCACCCAAGAAAACATTCAACTGCAAAATTAAATTTTTCATAAGAAAAAAAATCACCCAAATGATTAAAATGAAAAACAAAAGTCGAGAGCTTCGAGCTAAAGGGCAACATTATACGAAGTTAGAGCTGAGAAAAAGGGGGAGATACTAACGTTGTCATACTCTGGGGCAAATCGGTCAAAGAGGGCCTGTCTCTGAGCGGCAGACCGGTCCGGTCTGAGAATGGACCGGGATTCCGGCGGGCGACGCCGGCCGGTTATGGAGGGAAGAGTGAAGTGAAGTGTAGCCGCGTTGTCATAGACGGGGCAGTTTTGTTCACATCAGCCATATATTTTTTATGTAATTTCCTTAACTGCTAATTATTTATTTCTCAGCTGCATAAATGTGCTATTACAATTGATTTAATTATCAGAAGCTGAAGTGCAAAGTTTTGTTTATAAATCACAATTTTCTTGTGCAAGCGTGTAAATAAAAATAAAATAACATATGTTAGAGATAATTAATTTCATTGTAAATTAAAACATTATATTTTATATAAGTATATATTTTTATTCACAAAAATGGGTCGAGTCCATTACCTTAAGGTAATTTCTTCACAACAAAAGACTGGCATTTGCAAGTGCGTGCAACTATTAAACGAAATGAGTTACTCGTGAGCTCGACTTAATTCGGCTCGTTTAAAGCTCGAGATCAACTCGAACTCAGCTCGTTAATATAATAATATTGATAAACGAGCTGAGTTTGAGCTCGATTTTTAGTTCATTTGCTAAACGAGTCAAGCCGAGCTGGACTAGTTAAGGGTTCGAGCTCGGCTCGAATCGAATCATTTACCTCCCTACAAGTGCATAGTCTGTTAAATAAGTGGCACTTACGGGATTAAAAAAAACTAATTTTAGCAAAAATAACTGCTAATAATTAAATCTGTCTAAAAGTCCAATTAATTTTACAAAATAATATCCCGAACACTCAAATCATTACAGATGTTATATTTTTGTATGCGAATTGTTGTTTTTGTAGTGATCATCACATCACATATTTATGACAATAAATTAATAACTTCCCATAATTCCAAAATGACTTAAGACGGTCATCTGAGAATAAAAATAGTAACCAATAACTTTCATGGAATCATTGTGGTTGAATTATCATTATGACATATAAATTGGATAAAATTATGTAATCTGAGTTAGTCAACACTGCCTTTAATCATCGAATTACGCTTGGGACAGTCTCATTGAAATACATAAGAGATTGCTGAAGTTAAAAGAAGCTTCCCATTAAATATCAAGTCTCCTTTATCTAGAGTTGGAAAGACTTTGGAAATTTTGAGTCTAAAAACTAGTAGAAAGTTTGGGTCGAGAATTTGGAAAATTTGGGTCAATCTTTCACACATTATTTATGATCCACACGTAATTATTCATTCCTTTCTCTATAGCTTCTGAGATGACCCGACCCGAGGCTCAGTAATTCGATCACCGGGAAAAGTTTGAATTCGGGTGCTATATTAAACAATCAAAATGGTAAGAATTTGAAGTTAATTTTTATCCTTTTCTTTTTTAGGTTGTGTGTAATTCTGTCTTGAAGAAGGAATGAAGGGATTAAGAAATGGTTAATTGCGAAAAAATAATCATTTTTTTAGTTATATATGTAATTCGAGTCACATCCGGCTTAAATTCGCGTTGACTTGGCTCATGTGACGTCGTGAACTCTGCATTATTCGGGTAAAAAAATACATGCACAAAAATATATTTTCTCCCACACTCATTAAAATCCAGGAAAAGTTTTTTTTTTCTTTTTCTTTCTTTTCGTCTTTCTTCTTTCCACACATTGACTATAACAACCAATTTTTCTTCCTCCTTTATTATGTGTGGTTTAAGTAAAAGTTTCACTTTCCTTTCTCATCAGAGGAAACAATCTTCCCAAGCCGAAAGCTAAAGATGATCAAAACACCAAATCTCGGGCCGGGCCCAATTGCCCTTATCACGATCCTATCCGTTTTTCTACTTTCCGGAGGCCCACGGGCCGACCCAAGAACCAATACCGTTCTCTTCGAGTGCGGGAGCCAGGTGGCGGCCAACACCACCGTTTTAGTCCCCAACTTCGGGGCCACGATGGAGATCATAGCGGCCCAAATCCGAACATCGGCCTTTGGCACAGCCATCGTGGGCTCCAGGCCCAATAGCATCCACGGGCTTGTCCAATGCTACGGAGACCTCTCGTTAGTGGATTGTGTCCTCTGCTTCATCGTGGCCCGAACTCTCCTCCCTAAGTGCTACCCAGTCAACGGTGGCCGAGTTTACCTCGACGGCTGCTTCATGAGATCTGAAAACTACACTTTCTTCGATGAGTGGGCCGGGCCCGGCGATCGGGCCGTTTGTGGGAATTTGACCCAATTGGGCCCGAGTTTTCGTGAATCGGCCCGACGGGCCGTGGTGCGGGCGGTTTCATCTGCGCCGGGTAATAACGGGTTTGCGCGGGCCCGTGTTGGAGTGCCCGGGATTAGGAATGTATCGGTTTACGTTATGGCTAACTGTTGGAGGACGGTTGGCGAACGGGCCTGTCGGGCCTGTTTGGGGAAAGCGAGTGGGCTTGTTTTAGGGTGTTTGCCTTCGACCGAGGGCCGGGCCCTTAACACGGGCTGTTTCTTGAGGTATTCGGATATGGATTTTCTTAATCCGATGCCTGCACGTGGAAGCTCGAAAGGTATAGAGTCGATTCGACTTCATTTTTCTTGATTTTGTCTTCGTCNTGTGTAGGAAGGATTATAGCCATTGTAATGGCATGCGTTGGTGCAGCAGCTGTTCTGCTCATTGCAGCTTATGTTGGAATTTACATTAGAAGGAACAAAGTGATTGAGAAGAAGAGAAAAGGTAACAAGAAAGTATATTTTAAGTGTAATTACTTTGCCTTGGTAAATATTATTATCTTATGTTTGCAACTTAAAAGTATATATTGGTGAGGTTAAACCTAAAATAAGAACCAATCTCAAAAGTGAAAACTCTATTTTTAGTTTTTTACCTAGTGCTGTGATTTATTGTGTTTGGTACTATTTCCAGTCATTGTATTATGAAGAAGATTTCAATTCATTTTGTTCTTCCAACTGTTTTTTTCAGGTGATGCACATAAACTAGTGAAAACTCTTCATGACAGTAGCTTAAACTTCAAATATTCAACCCTGGAAAGAGCCACCGGCTCGTTCGACCCAGCAAACAAGCTCGGGCAGGGTGGGTTCGGGACAGTCTATAAGGTCACTAACCGATAAAAAAAAACTCAAAACTCGCACTCCCCCAAAAAAAAAATAAAAAAATCAATCAAATCATTTCATAATTCATGCACGTCGAATTTCTAAAAAAACGAAAAAAATCAATTTCTTGTATAGGGGATTTTACCTGACGGGAGAGAAATCGCTGTCAAGAGGCTTTTCTTCAACAACAAGCATCGAGCGGCCGATTTCTATAATGAAGTCAACATTGTAAATAGCATACAGCATAAAAACCTTGTTCGCCTGTTAGGCTGCAGCTGCTCGGGACCTGAAAGCCTTCTCGTTTACGAACTACTCCCGAACGAAAGCCTCGACCGCTTTATTCTCGGTCAGTAATAGTTTCAGATAAGAAACAAATGTTTATTATNTCAAAGGCAAGACATTAAACTGGGAAAAAAGGTTCAAGATAATCCTAGGAACAGCAGAGGGATTAGTGTACCTTCATGAAAACACAAAGATGAGAATTATACATAGAGACATAAAAGCAAGCAATATCCTCTTGGACTCGAAATTCAGGCCGAAAATCGCAGATTTCGGATTGGCCAGGTCATTTCAAGATGATAAGAGTCACATAAGCACAGTCATAGTAGGAACATTGTGAGTAATTCGTACGATTTTGAAGTTTTAACTACAAAAAATGGTCATTTTTTGTTTTTTTACTACGGTTGGTAATTCTTGTATTTTTTTTAACAAATTTTAGTCCTAAGATTCCAACTTTTCGCCTTTTTGGTCATGTGATTTAATATCTTGCTGCAATTTCAGAACTGAAATTGCAAAAAGAAATTTGAACGAAATTTTAATTACAATACTTAAATTGCTAATCGAAAATATGGGGAATTTTGGAATTTGTTCCAATTTCAGAGAACTAAACTGAAATTGCAGCAAAATAATAAATCACAGGACCAAAAAAGCAGAACGTTGGAACACTGAGACTAAAGTTGCTATGGTGTTAAACGAGCAGCACTAAAAATGCAATTTTGCCTTATTATATTTTGATTATAAATTTGCAGGGGATATATGGCCCCGGAATATCTAGTCCACGGCCAGCTAACAGAAAAGGCTGATGTCTACAGCTTTGGTATTCTTCTCTTAGAAATCGTGACCGGTCGAATGAATAACCAAAGCGAAACCTCAGACTATTCAGACAGCCTTATATCCATAGTACTTACTGTCTTATAAAAAATTACCATTTTACCCCTACTACATTTCCTTGATATAATATTATTAATATTTTTTCGGCAAATAACTATTCGTACAAATCAGGTGTGGAGGAATTTTCACGAAAAGGGGGTCGAAAAGCTACTCGACCCGAACCTAATGCAGCAAAATTGCAACATCAATACAAAAAACGAGATTTTGCGTGTAGTCCACGTGGCGCTCTTGTGCATGCAAGAAATCCCCTCATTAAGGCCATCAATGTCGAAGGTTTTACTAATGCTGGTGGGTAAAGAAGACTTACCGAACCCGACTAATCCTCCTTTCATGAATGAGGTAACCATGGAACTTACCGAGTCAAGGGCAAAAATGGTATTTCCACTCGAGCACAGCTATGGTGATTCTATTGCCAACTTGTCCCACAGCAATTTCTATCCTAGGTGATGTTAGAGAGTTCGGCTCTTTATGTATAAAAGCTACAATATAGATATCTTTCGGAAGAGAGTTGTAGAAAAAATATGTATAGCGAAAGGAATACTTACAGACAAGATAACTATATTCATATATGCGAACAGAATAAATATCTTGATAATTTATTATGCAGTTTTCTTGCTTATTAATACGGTTTATTGGAATAAAATTATGAGTGGAGTTTTTTAAAATCGAGTTTTATCGACATCACAATAAACTCCACTTCTAGACGAAATTCCATGTGCAAAAACTCAAGAACTTCGATCAGAACATATCTTGAAAATTTTATTTCTCGTCATATCGTGAAACAGAGTGTAAGCACTCTAAATACTACAAAAAAGCTAAACTATATTTCAGAACACACATATCTCACTTAAGACTCATTAAAAACATTATTAAAAGAACAATAAGAACATTCTTAGAGAGTGGCCACCAAATTACCCATTAACCCTCCACCAATCTCGTAATGCCTGGCCCGGGAAAAGCCCGCTTCTAAAGCTACCTTCTCCAACTCATCTCCTGCATGAACAGTAAGAACATACGCAAAAATCAAGCGAAAATGAATTTTGAAATACCTTGATAAAATTTTAAGGAAATAAATTACGAAACTCTTTAAAGACTACAAAATCCAAATCCGGGTTCTTTTACACGTCCTGCATAAAATATATCGATAATACACTGACAATTGGTAGTTATATATAGTAAATGCATTGATGGTAAAAGGATATGAAGGGTGTTTGCAAAACAAGAATCTTTCTACATCATGACTCCATAAATTTTTAAGCATTCGAGCTATGGGAGAAA